TTGAAGAACAACCGACGCACTCAACATCTCGTCGGACTTCGCAGCTCAGATATGTGATCATGTCTCGTCTTCGCGATCCAACGGATTACGTCTTCAAGGCAAAACATCGATGGACTGATCATATAATGAGAAGAACAGACGACAAATGGACTCGCAGAACTCTGGAATGGTTCCTCCGCAAAGCGAAACGTCCTCGAGGATGGGCAGACGTGTTCGTTGCACGGATGAACTAGCTGAATTCTCAGCTTGTAACAAGTGTTGGATCTGGCCTCGCGAACGTCGCCGCCGCAGTTTCATACCAACATCGTGGATGACGCTAGCGAGAGACAGAAACGGATGGAAACAATGCTAAGGCCTGCACGACGAGTAAAAGCAGGCCATCTAAGCATCTAAGTAAGTATCTAAGTAAGTTAATTAGTCAAATGCAGTGCAAATTATAATCATCGGTCAGTTGGAGTAATCGTGAACTTAGCTGCGTTTTTCTAAAAAAAATTAAGACATTCAAACACAAAAACATTTTTTCCTTTAGCAGTAAGAAGTCTTTTGATTTAGGCCAAACAAAGATAACTCAAATTTAACCAAAAATAGAAGCGGACTTCCTCCAAATCACTCGTAATGTCACCAACTGGGATAGGCTCTCATGCGTGACTAACTTTAATAGATGAAGTTAGCTTGATGAAATGAGTTTTTTCCTTAATGACAAACAACTCACATTCAAGCATAGATTAATAGCTAATGCGCATGCATATTCCGTAGCATATGTTGTTATTCGACCTTCTAGAAAGTTCACTATCCATTCCAACATGCCACATTGCAGCAGCTCGCGTTGGCACATATGCCTAAAAAGTACCTTACGTGGCAGTAATGCTTCTATAGAATTTCCTACCTAACGCTATTTTTCTGAAGCATAGCGATCAGTTGCTCCTGTGTTGTAGTAGGTAGCCGTCGACCACGAAGAACTGGCACCACACAATTGAGCACAAGGCGAAGATGAGCTTAAAATATTCGCAGCTTTGTGACTAAAGTTCCTAACTGCCCCAAAATGACCGAAAAGGGTTAGTGTTTTGTAGCACCTGCTAAGTAATGTCTGCCACTGGTGAAACTTGACAACATGTTGATAAGCCTAGCCATTTGTTCTCGAGAATCCACACCATCTGCTTGAAGGACACGAACTAAGGCGGACTGTAAAACAAAAGAGATTCTTGAAATTTTTGTGGAAAAACTCTGAAGAAGCAGGTAAATTTTATTTGAAATCAGGACTCCTCACATTCTTCTTTGCTTTCAACTGCAGCACATCATTATCAATGATCCAAGACAGTGCTTTTCGAGAATACTCGGACGAGGCGGCAATAGTGACTTGCTATAAATTTGCTATAATTGCAAAGTTATAAGATCATCCAAATTCGTTTAAGCTGATTGTTCATCTATGTGATTTGGAGAATTCAAGCGTGCACCTTTATACACTTGCATTGAGGAACGTTGTTGTTCAGCAGGTAGCTGAGCAATGAGAAAAAGTTCTGAATAAACTGATTGGAACTTAACATTCTTTGATTTGGAGTACGATTTTGTACGATACATTATCATCCGCAACGCAACCGCTACGCAGCAGCCCTTTTAGATTTTTCTTAACGTCCAATTCGCCAAATAACTTCTCTACACACAATAAAAATGTCTAAGTGGGAATAATCACACCATACTACATTTCTACAGCATAATATTGATAATAACAGAGCGGAGACATAGAAAATCTACTTCCGTTAAAGTTGGTTGTGCAGAGGTGTACTGTAACCAACCAAAGTCTTAATTAAGTATTGCAAGTATTGCATAGCCCACTCGCTTTCTCTATTTATTGAACATTTAGAAAATTTTATCTCGCATATTCAACTTTGTTATGTATCACAGTGTAAATTTGCCTAACTTATATGCTGTGCAACAAACCTGTCGCAGAGCTTGCAACAGTAGAGCTGTCCCTCTTCCTGCTGGATGTCCGCATATCAACGATGACAGCTTGGACGGGTCGATGTCGTTGAGCAGACATCGATCGGATCGCTCACTAAAAGCTAAGATTATGGGAGAAACTTCAAAAAAAGAAGTAAGTTAAGTAGAGTAATCGTTGGATATATACGTACACGACACCCGATATTTTCCTTGGTGATGGAGACGTCTTCGGATCCGGTGGAACCTCGTGAATTTCGTCAGTTGAACGAAATTGTGCTTAATAATGTTGT